TCCCTTAAAAAATATATCATTAAATTAATTTAAAGCCAAATATTTTAATAGTGGATATTGTAATCAAGTTAACCTTTCATAAGTGCACTTGTTAAAAAAAGTAACTTAACTTCCCGAAATCCATTTTTTTGAAACACCATTTCACCGAAGTCGTAATACTGAAAATCTATTTTACTAGTAGGACCGAAATAGGTCTGTGTCATTTCGCCGAAAATCAAATAACTGATAAGTTTATTTTACTAACAATTATTTTACTAACAGCTCATTTCACCGACTGGTTTCTTTTAAAGATTGCACTAACCTTAACTCTAATTCTAAATCTGACTCTAACAACAATGGCCAGAATTTTTTGTCGGTGAAATGACTACCAGTTAAATCAACTGTCAATAAAATAAACTTGCTGGTTAATTGATATTCGGTGAAATCCTATTTCTGTCCTGTTAGTAAAATGGATTGTCAGTATTACAACTTCGGTGAAATGGTATTTCAGAAAAATGGACTCCAGGAAAGTGAGCAACAACTGATTATGAGTAGTATATTATTGCGGATATTAAATTTAGGTCATATAATGTGTATTTAAGAAGGAAAACCACATGAAGATACGCTTATAAAGAATACACTTATGGAGGTCAGCTGTATTTGTTAATAAATACTTCTTGCTGCGAAGAAAATGGAAGGTGTACGGCTTCCGCAAAGTCCCACGAAATGTGGTTTTCAAATTCTAAAGAATTCGGTATTCCTGGACGTAAAAGTTTAGGTAAACTGATAAAATTTTGTAACTGTTGTTTAGTACTTAATATGCATTGTCTAAAAATTTAATTTTAGTAAAATAGTTATATTGATAATAATAATAATAATAATAACTTTCATACTTATAATATTCTCTTTCTTGATTCGCCCATTCAATATGACTATTCCACTCGTAAATCTTATTATCTCGCTCACTTTCTGTCCAAAATTGAGTGTTAAATCGCATATTTTTGCAAAGCATACACAGGTCGCTTCTAGGAGATAAAAAACGAATTTCTGGTACATATTTTTTCCAAATCCGCATAAAAAACCATCGGCTAATATGGTAATCAGAGTTTTCATCTAAATTTGATTCATAAATGCGATATAATCCAGCATAACTTTCGCTAGCGGGGAGAAATATAATAGCCATAGTGTCCTCTCAAAAATGCCGGCCTAATAAAAATAATACTACAGGGTGAAACTTGCATTGTGAATTAGTAAAATCGGCTATTTGGATCACATAAGGATAAAAAATCCACCTTTGTATACCATATCGTCGCGAAATAATGCCCCAGGGCATTATTTCGAGACAAAAAATAAAACGAGTTAATAATTAATTTTGCTAAAAAAATCTTCGGCAAAATTAATTATTAACGTATTTTAAAATTTTTGTCTCGAAATAACGCCCCGGGGCGTTATTTCGTGACGATACGGTAATAAAAACATAACTAAGCGTAGATTTCACCCTAATGTAAGGATTTTACTAATTTACACAGCGCAGGTTTCACCCAGTCCTAAAATAATTGTTGATATTAGTGATTCAGAGCTCCAAAAGCAAATTCAGGTCATAATACTTTACAAATTTTGTTTGCAAGTCCAAAATTAAAATTATAACCATCAAAAGATCTTAAGTCTAGTTGACATTTCTAATATGATGACCCGAAGCTATAAACGTCTGTAGCATTTGTAAACTTTTGACCTCAGGTGAGACAAAAGGCATGGCACTATAATTAAATTATAAGTAAAATAATAATTTTACCTGGTGATGGCAATCCATGACAGTTTGCAAAATTGACAATAAATGTAAGAACATTCAAAACAATCGTGAATGATAAAGCGTTATTAGATTTTCTTCCTGAAAGCGCATTCCTAATAGGTTTAGTACCATTTATACGATAATGTTGACGAATAGTTTCCCATTTTTTATTCGATAGTGAATATATAATTTGAAAAGCCTTTTCACAAATTTCATTTCCATCAAACGTATATATCAACCCTAACTTGATGTTAATGCTGGTAAAAAATTGTCGCTTGATTCGGCTAGCTTTAAAGTATATTGTCACTTGATTCGGCTAGCTTGAAAGTATATTGTCACTTGATTCAGCTAGCTTTAAAGTATATTATAACTTACATATGAATAAAATAAATTTTAGCAGATTTAGAGCACCAAAATCAATGAAGATAGATGTATTCACGCGAAGAGAATCAACTAATGCTTCTCCAGCTCATTATAAATATTATTTTCGAAGAGCATTTGCATATGATTTTCCGCATTCTGAACAAAGATTGTTATCCTAACTAACTTTAAAACTATAATTAATACAAAGTAACTATATAATTTAGCAACTTTAATACTACTTGAAAACTACTTATACTAATTCTATTATAAGAGTTTGATCTTAAGGTTCAAACACAATCTCTAAAATATCGTTGTTTCTGTTAAATCTTATATAAACTATCAATGTATTATAATTACTGGTGCTGGTATTTCTGTAAGTGGTGGAATACCCGTAAGTAGTCTTTTATTAATTTGGATGAAATTAAATTTCTTCTCGAGATTTTCAACGCGTTAATTAAGATAGTTAACCTAGTGTAATTAGTCTTAATTTTTAAACTAATATTTCCTTCGTTAATAAATAGGATTTTAGTAGTTCAGACGGTCTTTATAGCATAATAAAAACTCAATATCCGGGTATTTTTCGTTCTGGCAAGGATTTATTTGATGAATCTATTAAAGCATTTTATTATTTTATGGGTTTATAAATCAAAAATCTAACATTTACAGTATACTAGTGTACAATTCTAATAATGACACTATACATGAGATTCGTTATCTAATTAAATAGTTAAATCTATTTTATCATTAGACTTAATATGAAAATGAATGAATGGTTCACATATCTAAATTACACATATTATTGTTATTATTATTATTTTTTTTTTTGAAAACTATTTATGCAAAGGTCAAAAGACCTGATATCGTGCAATAATAATTTTATTTACTTTAAACATTGAACTATTTACATTGATAACAACGTTATCTGTTATTTCAGTATTTACATTGTGATTAAAACAAAACCTATTCAATTGTTACATCGTGAAAAAAAACAGAAGTTGTTGCAATTGTTATCTTTATACGCAAAAAAAAAGCTTCTAACCATTATTCTTTTCCATCAAAGGGTGAATATGTCATGGGTGTTAAAAATAAGTTAGCATTCTCATTATCGATTGGCGTGCTTAAACCTGCCTCTGTGATGTATTGGTTTATATTTCCTAAACTCTCAATGATAATTTCCTTCGAACATATAATGATATATTAGTGACGATGATAGAGCTTTCTAAAAAGGAAAAAGATTTGGTACCTTAATGTACAGAAAAATTGGTACACATCGACGCAATAAAGACATATTAACGCTCGTTGTAGGTAGATTGGTTCTGTTAACTTCTCTAAAAATATATATTCCTTTATATGAAATTGATAACTCGTATACAATTGCCATGTGATCTACAAATATTATTCAAGATTAGCACTATTTATCAAGCAAAATATTATAGCATAATAAATTCTCACTGTAGATTTGTAAGCCGTAAAACTTTAGAAGATTTAGATTTGTTTTCACGCCACCATATATTCGCACTATTCTATTTAACATGACCTTTAACATCTTTGCTATTTTGATTTTATCATTAAAATAATGAAAGTGTTGGTGTTCATTTGGAGGTCCGCTTATCTCTGCAATAGCAAATTCTATTTTTAAGGGCTTAGTGGCCCAGACAATATCTATTTTGCGACCATTGCTACGATTTTTTTTATCATCCTTTTTTAGGTCAAAGTCTTCTGCAGAGGCGAACAAATTCTTTTCTCCACTGAAGAAAATTTTTTCATCTCTATTAATACAGCATATTTAAAATTGAATAATCAACCCATAAAAAATTTTACGTACAAGTAAATTTCCATGTCGTTAAACTTTTTTTGAAATAGATTGGTAATCAATGGCGTTAAAAACATTTCCCGATACATTCTTTCGGATAAAGCTTCGTTCAATAAGTGATTATCTCTTTCGAATGATTGAACTCTATAAAAGGAATGAAGCTGATTTCGTAAAATTAAAATGACTTAACCTTCCATGTATAGTAAAAGAAAACCAGATATTTACAACAAATTTAGGTAACTCCATAAAAATTCCTTCTCTTCATCACCACGAGTTGGTAAATAATGATCAACGACTGATTTTTTGAAATCAGAAACCTATGAAAATTTGTTAATAAGATTTTTTTTTGGTTATACTTTAAACCACTTTAATACCTTTATCATATTATTAATATGATGCTTTATTTCATTGTATTCTTTCTGTTGAGGTTTTTGTTCACGCGTAAGCTTTTTGTATACTTCCGTTGGCATGTAATTTTTGACGAAATCACTATTGCTGCCTGGAGTGAGGTCTAATATGTCGTAATATGCAAGGCTGCACAAAAACTTAGTATATAAATTTTGGTATGAATTAGAAATTATTTTAAAAAACTTACTCATCACAAGGTGGATTATTTCTCAATTTCCAATTAATGAGAGACTCTCTAACATTAAAGTTTCCTACAATCAAATTCTCTTCATTATCTAGACTTTCTTTCGTTAAAAGTTCAAATGAGGTATCTTTTTGGATACACTGTCGTTTTATTTCATCAACCTATTGAAAATATGATATTTATAAAATTCGATATTAGCTTAAGTCAATATAAAATTTAATATAGAATAAATCACCTACAGAATTCGTTTCCTCATTACTTCTTTTCAAGAAAGATTTTTTAGATTGAAAATCAGTCAACTTATCATTAATCATTTGCACTGCAACTTCTGATCCATATAGATTCGTTTTGACATCAAATATGTTTATATTGACCTACAAATTAGTTGATATTATGCTAACTAATGTTACTGATTATGCATCATATTTACCTTTTCATCCATTTGAATAAACAACGCCATAGTTTCTTTAAATTGAAACTGCTTCTCCACGTTTTTGTGAAGTTTTATCGCTTTATCCCGCGCTTTTTTATTTGATGACTGATTGATGCTTATTAAATGGAGCTGCTTTTTGATTTCTGCCAAAATTTCCTCTTTGTTTTCAGATACAAGCCCCATACAATTTTTTTTATCCAAATATTTAAGGCAGTCAATAACGTTCCATTTTGCATAGTTTATTTTACCCATAAAATAATAAAATGCTTTAATAGATTCATCAAATAAATCCTTGCCAGAACGAAAAATACCCGGATATTGAG